ATAGATAGATAGATAGATAGATAGATAGATAGATAGATAGATAGATACATACATACATACATACATACATACATACATACATACATACATACATACATACATACAGATACACAGATACAGATAGATAGATACATAGATATATAGATTAGATAGATAGATAGATAGATAGATAGATAGATAGATAGATAGATAGATAGATAGATAGATAGATAGATACACAGATAGATACATATAGATAGATAGATAGATAGATTGATAGATGAGATGAGATGGAGAGATAGAGAGATCGGTAGGTAAGTAGATAGATTAGATCAGGAATGTCAAACTCATTTTACAAATTTCAGCGGTTAACTAGCCCATATCCCACCTTTATGGAGCTATGCAGCCAGTCTTAAAAACTGAAATAAAACTTCGGCTTTATGGAAGTTGGCAAACAGCCCTTGATGGAGGAAAGTGCATCGGTCCTCACAGCCGCTGCACACAGTGGATTAAAAATAACCTTCATCAAAGGCTGGTTGACACTTTAATCATAACATTTGCAATTGTAATCATCCCAGCAACGTCTTAGGGAAGCTCCCCTCTGCATACAGATCCACGGGCAAGTTGGTGCTGGCAGGGACAGCCGGGGTAAACATCAACCAACTTCTCAAGTGCAAATAAAGCACTCCAGTAAGATTGAGCTTGCCAGCTTTTGGGGAGCCTTGTCCTGTCCTATTCCAAAGAAGGATGCGTTCCACAGGGACGCGATGGCTCAGTGGCTAAGATGCTGAACTTGCTGATCAGAATCAGCAGTTCGGCAGTTCGAATCCCTGGCGCCGCGTCACGGAGTGAGCTCCCGTTACTTGTCCCAGCTTCTGCCAATCTAGCAGTTCAAAAGCATGTAAAAATGCAAGTAGAAAAATAGGGACCCCTTTGGTGGGAAGGTAACAGTGTTCCGTGCACCTTCGGCGTTTCGTCATGCCGGCCACATGATCACGGAGACGTCTTGGGACAGCGCTGGCTCTTCAGCTTTGTAACGGAAGTGAGCTCTGCTCCCTAGAGCCAGGAACAACTAGGATGTATGTGCGAGGGGAACCTTTACCTTGACCTATATTCCAAAGAACTTGACCAAAGAAGACAATCTAATCTTCTAAAGTAGTCCTCGATGTACGACCACAATTGAGCCCAAAATGCCTGTGCTCAGCGAGATAGTTGTTAAGTGAGTTTTGGCCCATTTTACAACCTCCCCTGCCACAATTGTTAAGTGAATCACCGCAGTTGTTAAGTTGGTAACTCAGTTACCACTTTAACACAATTGTTAGGTGGATCTGGCTTCCCCACTGACTTTGCTTGTCAGAAGTTCGCAAAAGGTGGTCCCAGGACCCCGGGACATTGCATTGAACCAGTGGCCAAGGGTCTGAATTTTGATCACATGACTACGTGGAACACCCAATGGTTGTAAGCGTGAAAAAGGATCATAGGTGACTTTTTTACAGCACTGTTGTAACTTCGAATAGTCCCTAAATGAAGAATTGTAAGTTGAGGACTATTTATAATATTGGCTTGTTTTAATCTTTTAAGTATTTTTCACCTGCTTTTATAATTTTATGCCACCCGGAGTCACTTTGTAGGGGAGATGGGCAATATAGAGATTTGATATATAGGGAGGGAGGGAGGTAGACAGAGAGAGAAAGAGAGAGGGACATAATAGAGAGAGAGAGAGAGATGATAGAGAGATGATAGAGAGAGAGAGATAGACAAACAGACAGAAGAGAGAAATGATAGATACATAGAGATGATAGATAGATAGATAGATAGATAGATAGATAGATAGATAGATAGATAGATAGATAGATAGATAATGAAGAGACAGACGATTAGATAGATAGATAGATAGATAGATAGATAGATAGATAGATAGATAGATAGATAGATAGATAGATAGATGGATGGACAGATGGATGGACAGATGGATGGAGAGAGCCAGCCAGCCAGATGGATGATCGATAGATGATAGATGAGGGAGAGAGCAGGGGCGAGGAGAGAGAGAGAGAGAGACTAAGATGGAGATCATTGGCATAATGCTAAGTCAGGGAAGGAATCTCCAACAGTTAAACAAACAGCTTCCCAGCTTCTCCTTCCTCCCTCTTTCTTCTCACCTGGCATCACTTCGGCCACCAGTGGTCCTTCTGCTGCCAACTCTCGCACAATCTCATTGTCATCCTCATTGATATCTAACCAACGTCCACAATTGAAGGTGTACTTCTCTTTCGTCAGAGTTTTCAAAAGAGTGACCTTGAATAATTGAAAAAAGAAACCCCAATGATATATCGGGCATATTTGGAATCTCACAGTACTTGGAAGGAGATGGTGACAAGGGATTTATGTGAATAAAAGCAAGGTGAATTGGGAAAACAGCAAAACATTCCTTCTGAAACATGTTAACATTCTCTTCTGTTAAGGGAGAACCTGAAGTCTTTGGTATTTAAACTGTTTGCACTTCAGATATATTTAAGAAGTTTATATCATCTGTCTAATAAATCAGAACTTCCTTTCAGTTGGCCCAGGCTATAAGCTCACATCTGGATAAACATATAGGATTACACTGTAAAATGGTTAATCTCAAAACATTTAACTAGACAGCAGGTTCCATGCACTTAGAGCAGTGATGGCTAACCTTTTTGGGCTCCTGTGCCAAAAATTGTGCGCGCACTTGCATGCTCGTGTGCCAGCACCCAGAAGGCAATGCGTGCCCCCTATATCCCCTATGAATGCATGCACAATCACCCCCCCACCCCCCACACTTACCTGCACTGCGTCTCACAGCTGATTTTTGGCCGGTTTGAGGCTTTTTTCAGCCTCCCTAACGCTTGAGGAAGGCTTCTGCAGGCTTCTACAAGCTTTGTAGGGCGAAATCTAGCCCCGTTTTGTCACTTCCTGTTTTTCCGAAAATACCGGAAGTGATGAAATGGAGCTAGATTTCGGCCTACAAAGCCTGCAGAAGCCTTCTTCAAGCCTTTGGGAGGCCAAAAAAAGCCACAAACCAGCCAAAAATCAGCTGTGAGACAGGCACATGTGCAGTGAGGTAAGTTTGCCTGCAGCTCACGAGCCGGCACAAATGGCTCTGTGTGCCACCTGTGGCACGCATGCCATAGGTTTACCATCATGGACTTAGAAGGATTATTTCTGGGTAAACATGCTTAAGACCAAGCTGAGGATGAATTTGCAAAACATTGCATCCTTATTAATAATATTCTGGATCTTACAGGTAAGAATCTTACAGGTAAACGTCACCCTTTCCTCAGAGACGAAAGCAACAATAAAGAATTATACAATGGCTGAAGGGTTGGAACTGCCATGTTTCCCTGAAAATAAGACCTAACCAGAGAATAAGCCCTAGCATGATTTTTCAGGTTGCTTGTAATATAAGTCCTACCCCCAAAATAAGCCCCAGTTAAGTTTGCCAGCCAGACACATTTAGCACCATATTTCCCTGAAAATAAGCCCTAACTAGAAAATAAGCCCTAATGCATCTTTTGGAACAAAAAGTAATATTAAGACCTGGTCTTATTTTCGGGGAAACATGGTAGCATCTTAGAATACAAGGAAAGTCAGTCAGTGAGTGGCACTACATAGAAGCCAAATGAAATAAAATAAAATAAATAAAGGAAGTACAATTAGTCCTCAACTTACAACCACAGTGGAGGCCCAAATTTGTTGCTTTGTGAGACATTAAATGAATTTTGCCCCATTTTACGACCTTTCTTGCCACTGTCATTAAGTGAACCCCTGCAGTTGTTAAGTTAGCAACACGGTTGTTAATTGATTTCTCCCACCAGCAAGATTGGCCAAAATGTACGGAAACCAATCACCTAATTGTTGGAAATGTTTGAAAGAACAGGGCACAATTACCATGTGTGGTGGTCCTGTAAAAAGGCACAGGAGTTTTGGTATAAAATTTGGCTGTGATTAGAGGAAATTATGGGGCTAAAAATAAATTACAAACCTGAGACGTTCTTATTGGGAATTATGGCACAGAAGTATAGTGAAGCTGACACCTACCTAATAATCCATGTAATTACAGCAGCAAGAATGATATTTGCCCAAAACTGGAAGGCTAGAGAAATTCCGAGGGAAGATGTGGTGATGGATAAGATATTATAATGCGCCGAAATGGATAGGTTGGCATTGGAACTAAGGGTAAAGACGAGTCAGAGTACTATATAATATGAAAAAAAAAATACCACTGGAGGGAAATGAAAGGGAGTTCACAAAATGTAACTGAAAGGTAACATAAAGGATTTAAAATGTATAAAGATTTAATGTATATATGTATATAAATGTACAAAATGTTAGAGTACCTAACACAGTGGTGGCTAACCTTTTTGGGCTCCTGTGCCAAAAATTGTGCACGTGGTTGCATGCTCGCGCTCATGTGCCAGCACCCAGAAGGCAATGCGTGGGCCCCCCCACACCCCCTACGCATGCGCGCACAATCCCCACCCACCCACCCACCCCCTGCCATCCCCTTAGCTGCACTGTGCCTCACAGCTGATTTTTGGCCAGTTTGAGGCCTTTTTTGGCCTCCCAGAGGCTTGGAGAAGGCTTCTCCAGGCTTCTGCAGGCTTTGCAGTCTTTGCAGGCTGAAAATTAGCCCCATTTTGTCATGTCCGGTATTTTTGGAAAAACCGGAAGTGACAAAACGGGGCTAGTTTTCGGCCTACAAAGCTTGCTGAAGCCTACAGAAGTTTTTCTCAAGCCTTTGGGAGGCCAAAAAAGGCCTCAAACCGGCCGAAAAATCAGCTGTGAGGTGCGCACATGCGCAGTGAGTTAAGTTTGCCTACAGCTCGCGTGCTGGCACAAATGGCTCTGCGTACCACCTGTGGCACGTGTGCCATAGGTTTGCCATCACGGACCTAACATAATATGTAACAACAAAAACGTAGGTCAAAGAAGTCCACCACGTTCAATGTTTTTAAAGATTATAGCTAATAAAAATTTATTTTTTTAAAAAAAGTGGCTTCCTCCTTGACTTTGCTTCTCAGAAGTTCACAAAAGGGAATCACGTGCAACCATCATCAATATGAGACAGCTGGCAAGCCTCTGAATTTTGATTGTGTGACAATTCAAGCCTCTGAATTTTGATTGTGTGACCACAGGGAGGCTGCAGACGTAGTAAGTGTGGAAAAAACGATCATAAGTCCCTTTTTCCAGTCCCGTTTGGAATGGCCACCAAACGAACGGTTGTAAGTTGTAAGACTTATTTTTTGCAATATACCCCTTTGTCCCTTTTGCTGTTCTTGAGTGACATCTGTTCCCATTTGGGTAACTACCATCTTCAAACACAATGGGCAGAAATGGAAAAGTGTGTCCCCTCCAATGTCTCAAAGTGGATAATCAAGATTAGAAATGATGTACCAGAGCTTTCAAATGGCAAAAGTGGTCCTTAAGGGTGGAACATCTGCTAGCTCTTCCTGAATATCAACCCCGGGTCAGCGTTAGAGTCATCTGTGAGCTCTCAAAAGGCTATTAGTAAAGCATTTGTGCCACTCTTAGCGCTATTTTCCTTACCTTGTTGAGATGCCAGCCAGAAAAAGGACTCCGTTTCTCGTGCCATATCCGAACTTTGAATAACGTACCCAGATTCGGGAGCTCAATCTATACAAACAAGCATAACGGAATAACAAAGATGGAAGGGGGACCTTGGAGATCATCTAGTCCAACCCCCCTCGCACAAGCAGGAGATCCTATACTATTTTCAGACCAATGGTTGTCGAATCTCTCCTTAAAATCCTCCAGTGTTGGAGCACCCAGAGCTTCTGAAGGCAACTTGTTCCATGGAGTGATTGTTCTCACTGTCAGGAAATCTCTCCTTAGTTTTAGGCTGGTTCTCTCTTTGATTAGTGCCATCCATTGCTTCTTGTCCTGCCTTCAGGTGCATACAACTCAGTGGTGGGATTCAAAAAAAATTACTACTGGTTCCTGGCTTGGTGGGCGTGGCTTGGTGGGCATGGCAGGGGAAGGATACTGTAAAATCTCCATTCCCTCCCCACCCACTCACCTGCTTTACAGCTCTGTTCTCCTGTGCAGGGCAACCAAAGAAGACCCAGCCGCTCAGCTGGGACTCAGTGGGAGGCAGAGAAGAGATGGGGGCAGGGCCAGTCAGAGGTGGGATTTGCCGGTTCTCCAAACTACTCAAAATTTCTACTTCTGGTTCTCCAGAACTGGTCAGAACCTGTTGAATACCACCTCTGATACAACTTAATAATAGAGTTGGAAGGATCCTTAGAAATCTTCTAGTCTTCTAGTCCAACTTTCTGCTCCAGCATGGAATATACCATATCAGACAAATGGCTGTCCAATCTCTTCTTCTAGTGTTGGGGCACCCACAATTTCTGGAGACAAGCTGTTCTTCTGATTAATTGCTCTAAATATCAGGAAATTTCACCTTAGTTCTAGGACTAGCATGTATACCTCTTAATATGCCTTCAACTGAATGTAACTAATCATCTTAAAACATCTGATCATCTTATATCTTCTCATGTACCTAGATGTTTTGTTTATTGTTTGTGCTAAACTATATAACGTGGTTCATAGAATTGTCCCTTGAAGCACAAATGACCAGGCTCAAGTTATCCTACTTGCAGAAAAATTTCAAAGTAACAGAGTTGGAAGGGACTTTGGAGGTCTTCTAGTCCAACCCCCTGATCAGGCAGAAAACCCTATGCTATTTCAGACAAAAGATTGTGCAACCTATTCTTAAAAACTTCCAGTGTTGGAGCATCCACAACTTCTGTAGGCAAGTCATTCCATTGATTAAATTGTTCTAAATGTCAGGAAATTTCTCTGTGATGACCCAGGGTGGGATACAAAATAAACGCAGGTAGAAAAAACAGGTGAAGCCCCTTTTATTCCTTCACTTTGCTTCCAAGCTCCAAATAGCCTTGACTGGAGACAAAAAAACTCCCACACAAGCAGTTACAAGAAGGAGGAAATGCAGTTTAAATTATAAAGAGTAAACAACAATACAACAGGCAAGATAAGGGCTGGAAGATGTCCACAGGTATCAGAACACACACCGGGAAGGACGCCAAACTCAGAGAGGAACCATAAACTAGAGATATTTCCATGCTTTGTTTCCAGCACTTGCCTGTACACATATCCGTCCTCTTATTCAGTTGTTACAGCTGCAGCCCATGAAGAGGATCAAGGCCCTCTCCTTCCGAGTAGACCACTTCTCTCCCTTATCCTCTTCTCCCAGCGCGCCCTAGGATGGAGAGGGTATGGGCTTGGGTCCTCCTCTGACTGCCCAGCCGGCCTCTGCACTTCCCCAGCCTCTTCCACAACCTCCGGAGCCACACTTCCACTCCCTGTCAGCTGTTCCTCCTCTCCTTCAGAGTCAGTCTTCACCGGGGGCATGACATTCTCCTTAATTCCTTAGTTTCCATCCGTTGCTTCTTGTCCTGCCTTCAGGTGCTTTGGAGAATAGCTTGACACCCTCTTCTTTGTGGCAGCCCCTGAGATATTGGAATCCTGCTATCACGTCACCCCTAGTCCTTATTTTCACTAGATTTAATGTACCCAATTCCTGCCTATGTTTTATCCTCCAGCCCCCCAATCATCCTTGTTGCTCTTCTCTGCACTCTTTCTAGAGTCTCAACATCATTTTTACATCATGGCAACCAAAATTGGATGCAGTATTTCAAGTGTGGCCTTACCAGGGCATTTATAAAGTGGTATTAACACTTCATGTGATCTTGAGTCTATCCCTCTGTTTATGCATCCTAGAACTGTGTTGGCTTTTTTGGCAGCAGCTTTATTCATGGTAACATGTTTCTATCACAGCAATGCTAGACCAGAAAAAAAATGAACATTTCCCATCAACTAATCAGTGCATCAGTCAATGTACTTTGATGGCATTAAATAATAAATCTGTAGTTTATTAAAAAGGCAAGGGTGGCCAAATCTCACTAAAGGTTATGTGAGAATGTAGAGATTGTTGCAAGGTGCAACTGTCTTATGAAATTGTGGGCATTAATTTTAATTTTAACAAAGGGGAATATTTGCAGCTCAGGTTTGAAATGAGGAGTCCTTGGTGCCCTCTGAGCTTGCTTATATGTAATCTTGGTCTGACGTTTCATCAGCCTTTGGCTGAAGGAGAGAAGTAAATATTTTGGTGTCTTCATAGGGTTAAGATTATTTTAGGGACAACTGTTAAAATTGATAGTTTGCACGATATGTGAACCAGATCTAGGAGGCTAAACTCACATTAGTGTTAGATGCAAGAAATCTGGAACCAGGATATATAGTTAAAAAATACTACAAGATTTGGTAGCCGCAATATTTAAAAAAATGTTGACACTGTAGAAAGTGTAGGGAAAAGCCACAAAGATGATTAGGGGACTGGAGGCTAAAACATACAAAGAACGGTTGCTGGAATTGGGTATGTCTCGTTTTATGAAAAGAAGGACTAGGGGTGACATGATAGCAGTCTTCCAATATCTCAGGGGCTGCCACAAAGAAGAGGGAGTCAAGCTATTCTCCAAAGCACCTGAGGGCAGGAAAAGAAGCAATGGGTGGAAACTAGTCAAGGAGAGAAGCAACCTAGAACGAAGGAGACATTTCCTGACAGAACATTTAATCAGTGGAATGGCTTGCTTCAATCATCTCAGTATTGGTTCCTTTCAGTCAGTGGTGGGATTCAAAAACCTTTTACTACTGGTTCTGTGGGTGTGGTTTGCTGGATGTGGTGTGGCTTGGTGGGCGTGGCTTGGTGGGTGTGGCAGGGGAAGGATACTCTAAAATCTCCATTCCCATCCTACTCCTGGGGGAAAGTTACTGCAAAATCCCCATTCCCTCCCCACCCCACTAACCTGCTTTCCAGCTCCGTTCTCCTATGCAGGGACACCAAGGAAGACCCAGCCAATCAGCTGGGACTTGGGAGGCGGAGAAGAGATGGGGGCGGGGCCAGTCAGAGGTGGGATTTGCCAGTTCTCCGAACTACTCACATTTTCCACTAGCGGTTCTCCAGAACTGATCAGAACCTACCGAAATATCCCTTTGCTTTCAGTACTCTGTAGGCAGAATGTTTTAATGAAAAGAAGGACTAGTGGTGACATGATAGCAGTGTTCCAATATCTCAGGGGCTGCCACAATATCTCAGGGGCTGCCACAACCTATTTTCCAAAGCACCTGAGGGCAGGAGAAGAAGCAATGGGTGGAAACCCATCAAGAAGAGAAGCAACCTAGAACTAAGAAATTTCCTGACACTGAGAACAATTAATCAGTGGAACAAGTTGCCTTCAGAAAATTGTGGGTGCTACAACATTGGAGGTTTTTAAGAAGCGACTTTTCTGAATTGGTATACTAGAAGAACCCCAACTAGTCCCTTCCAACTCTGTTATATTTTTTTCTTGCAGACATTTCTTTATTAAAACTGGGTAACAGGTTTGTTTGTTTTTTAAATGAAAGTAGACATCTGCCAGCACAATTAACTGATGTCATTGAGCTAAAGGATTTCAGAATTATCGATGATGGCACAGAAAAAAGTTATATGAGAGGCACATGCCCAGAATTGTATATCTTGGGGTAGATAACCTTTTTCTGCCTCCAAGGGTTATACAGTAACAACAAAAGTAAAAAAGGACTGTTATTTTTTTTTTTTTAACTTTTAACACAAAATAGGTTTAAGTTTTCCAAGAAACAATTGGAGGCTGCAAAATGGGCCAGGCTATTCATATGTGGCCTGTGAACATTTTGCATTGCATGCAAAACGATATGTTCTTATCTGAGCATTTCGAACCTGAAGAATTCAGGCAGAATCTTTGGGTGACACTCTGCATGTCACACAAGGGCACAGTGTGTGAATGTGAGGAACAACAATCCATCTCTCATATCCTAAGGTGCATACAATGTCGTGTTGACAAGAGAAAATGCTATTGACCTGGCCCAATACTGGGAGAATATCATCTAGTTTTAGTCTCGGTCATAATACATACTTTTAAACCAAGGGTGGGATTCAAATTTTTTAACAACCAGTTCTATGGATGTGGCTAGGTGGGTGTGGCCATGTGACTGGGTGGGCGTGGCTTCTTTTTTTGTAGCAAAACAACCCCCCCCCCCCCATTTTTTTGCCTCTTGGGCCTCGGGGAAGCCTCCTGGGCGAAGCAGTAAGACAGCGAGGGGGATCCCAGCACAGCTGACCATTGGAACAGCTGGTTGTCATGGAAAAAAGAGAAATACCTTAAGGAGTGACTGGGTGGGGAAGAATGCAGTCAGCGATGTCGAGCATGCGCGCAATGTTGCACATGCTCGATAAGGACTGACTGGGCGGGAAGGGGAGGGACGGGTGGAGAAGGGCAGGGCAGCCAGGGGCACGATTGGCTGGTTCTCCGAACTGCACAGAATCATAACAACCGGTTCTATAGAACCGGTCCGAACCAGGAGAATCCCACCCCTGTTTTAAACGTGCTATATTTTTTATGACCTATTTCAGAGTTTCTCAACTTTGGCAGGTTTCAGATATGTGGACTTCAACTCCCAGAATTCCAGAGGTGGCTGTGGAATTCTGGGAATTGAAGTCCATATATCTTTTTTTTTTTCAATTTTAAAACAAAACTTTATTGAAGTTCAAGGTATTAAAAAGTTTACAAAAAAACAAAATATTAAAAAGATTTACAAAAGTTTCTATAATAGAGGTTATGTCGACATGTTTCCATACCATTCCTTGGAGTACATTAAATACCATATATATGCACAGAATTTGACTGTTTTTTAAACATATTGTCTGTATTGATTCTCAATTCTTAATTTATGTTAATAAACAAAACTATATTGTCCTTTAAGATCACTGATTCACATATACAGATAAGGGAATATCAAATTGAGACTTAATATATGCATGCATGTCTAAAGAGAACATCAGGGGTATTTTTAGTCTATATGCTGTAATTTAGTATTCTGCGGATATAGCGGAAGGGAGGAGTCACATAGAAATCTTGAGCTTTCCCCAGGTTATCAATTTTAATTTTCTTATCATTCCATGTAATCAACATGCCTTCTGGGGTAATCCATCAAAATATTCTTTTTATTTAGATGGTTAGCCAAGATTCGGTAGTCTTTTAGTTTGTGTACTCTCCTTGATATCTGTTTTAATATGAGTATTTCTTTTCCCTTGTAAGTTATTGGTTCTTTCCTGGTAATTTTATAAACGATGTCCCTTACTTTCCACCTTGCAAATTTTATAAGGACCTCTCTAGGGAGTCTATGGCATCTGGCATAGCTGGTATACACCCTATAGATATCATCCATTTCATTAATCATCTCTTGTCTGTCTCTTTGTAGGGCATCTGCCATCAATTCATATCTTAAAGCTGCCAAGGGTGAGAAACACTGGCCCATTTTATGTCCATTTTACTTGCTCGATATTAAATGTTATATATCTAGAGTTTGTAGGTGTTTGTTCTGACACGATTAAAGAAAGAAAAAAGTGTCTTTTTTATTCTTAGGACTGGTGGATAGTTCCCACCCCTATATCTTGATTAAAAATTATGAAAATGATATTTTCCAATCAGTTGTGTACAGTTTTAAATTCCCAGGCCCTTAAATATAAAGTCATTTCATGATGTTGGGAAAGCATGAATGGATCTATTTTATGCAGGAGAAGGCGAAAAGAAATCTTGCCAATGCTTCACATATTGTAAGAGATCAAACATACTTAGTGCTGACATTAATGCTATCAGATTTCTGCTCAACTGTAGCCCAGGTTATTTAATAATTAAAGCTCCATTTCACAATTACTTTTGCTGGAAGAAGAATGAGAGAAATAGCACCGTGCCTCCTCCTCCTTCTCTTGGACAAGGTCTATTAGCCCATATTGTAGTAGTAGCAGACAGTAGTAGAACTGGGAAAATGCATTTTCTACAACTATTAATAGAAGCAGAATGGCAAAGTTGGAAACGATCTTGGAGATCTTCCAGTCCAATCCTCTGCTTAGGTAGGAAACCCAAGACCATTTCAGACAAATATATCATGACTGCCATTTTGCAAGCTTTGCATCCCATCCTGCCAGCCTGACACTAGGAATGGTGGGGGAGGGGGAGGGAAGAAGTTGGAATGAGGGAGGACAAGGAAAGGGGTGTAGGGAGTTGAAACCATGTTGTTGTCAGGATTTCATCACTTGGATGAAAAGCCCGAAATTGACCGTTGTTTGAACAGGGAGATGCATCAATCCAGTCCAAGGTCAACCAATAACAAATGCAGAGATGGAGAAGGCGCAAACTGAGGGTCCGGTCCATTACTTAAACAACATGAAAACTCCTTATTGGACATTGACAGATAACATGGGGTTGCTCAGGGGGAAAGAGAAAGTTAATTATATCCTTTGCGCACCAAACTAGCAGATTCAGCTTTGTGTTGGAACCACTTTCGCTTTCAATAAAGTACAGCTAGTCCTTGACTTACAACGGTTAATTTAGTGGCCGTTCACAGTTACAACAAGCAGTGGAAAAAAAAGGGATTTCTGACTGTTTTTCACAGTTATAACCTCTGAGGCATCCCCAGGATCATGGGATCACAATTCAGATGCTTGGCAGCTGGCTCTTCCTTACAGCCATTGGGCTGCATCCCAACCAAAGAAGACCCAGCCAATCACCTGGGACTTGGGAGGCAGAGAAGAGATGGGGGCGGGGCCAGTCACAGGTGCTTTTTGCTGGTTCTCTGAACTACTCAAAACTTCTGCTACCGGTTCTCCAGAACTGGCTGAATACCACCTCTACTTCAAAGTTACAATGACTCTAAAAAAAATGGCTTAGGACCATTTTTCATACTTACAACCATTGCCTTCTTGTGGTCATGTGATCAAAATTCAGACATTTGGCAACTGACTTGTATTTAGGATGGTTGCAGTCTTCCAGGGCCAAGTAATCCCCTTTTGCGACCTTTGAACAAGCAAAGCCAACAGGGAAGCCAGAATTCACTTAACAGCCAGGTTATTAACTTACCCACTGCAGTGATTCACTTAGCAACTGTGGTGAGCAAAGGTCATAAAATGGGGCAAAACTCACTTAACAAATGTCTCACTTAACAACAGAAATGTTGGGTTCAGTTGTGGTCGTAAGTCAAGGACTATCTGTATACTACTCTTGGAAAACAACGAGCCAGGAATCTTTCTTTGCTAAACTAACTTAAATGGGACAGATGACAAAAAGGTTGTCCAATCTCTTCTTGGTCAGAATATTCATGAACTGAAATAGGGCATGGTAACAAGGCCAGCCAATGAATAGGCATAGCAAACTAAGTCAGCCAATGAGGAGTGTTTTGAAACTGAAACTGAAGCGGCCTGGGCATGGCCCTGCAAGCTCAAAGTGCTGTGCTGAGAACTGAAATTAATCTGCTCTGAGCTCTGAAGCTGCTGCTTGCTTTTTTCTTGTTGAACCATTGGAAAGAATCTACTGTTGGTATTGTACAATTATTCCTATGTTATTATGTATATAAAGAAGTTAATGAATACTGCTGAAATAGTCATCTGTGTGTGCTTTCTGGATTTGATTTCTGCAGTAAACTCCAACATTCTTAAAAGCCTCCAGTGTTGGAGCACCCGCAACCTCTGGAGACAAGTCATTCCACTGATTACGAATTTCAAAAAATTTCTCCTTTGTTCTAGGCTGCTTCTCTCTTTGATTTGTTTCCATCCATTGCTTCTTGTCCTACCCTCAGGTGCTTTGGAGAATAGCTTGACTCCCTCTTCTTTGTGGCATCCCCTGAGATATTTGAAGGCTGCTATCATGTCTCCCCTACTCCTTCTTTTCATTAAGCTAAACATACCCAGGTCCTGCAACCTTTCTTAGTATGTTTTAGTCTCCAGTCCCCTGATCATCTTAGTTGCTCTTCTCTGCATTTTTTCCAAAGTCCCAACATCTCTTTGGTAATGTGGTAACCAAAACTGGATGCGATATTCAAAAAAATAATAATAGAGGTTGCCTTCAAAATAAAAGCAATGCTGTTGTAAGTATACACTTATTTACATTTGATTTCTATTTTCTGATTGACTTCATGGTGGGGGTGGACAGATATGGCCCTCTGCAGCGGGCAGAGTTTGAAGCCCTCAACTTACGACCGCAGTTGAGCCCAAAATGTCTGTTGTTAAGTGAGATGTTTATTAAGTGAATTTTGCCCTGTTTTATTATTTCTCTTGCCATAGTTGTTAAGTGAATCAGGACAGTTGGGTAGTTAGTAATCCGGTTGCTAAATGAATTCGGCTTGTCAGAAGGTTGCAAAAGATGATCACATGATCCCGGAACACTGCAACCGTCATAAATACGAGTCAGTTGCCAAGCATCTGCATTTTGATCACGTGACCATAGGGAGGTTGCCTTAAGTGTGAAAAATGGTCCTAAACCATTTTTTTTAGGGCCGTTATAACTTTGAACCAGAGGTAGTATTCAGCCAGTTCTGGAGAACCAGTAGAGGAAATTTTGGGTAGTTTGGAGAACCGGCAAATACCACCTCTGACTGGCCCCACCCCCATCTCTTCTCCACCTCCCAAGTCTCAACTGATTGGCTGGGTCTCCTTTGGTTGCCCTGCACAGGAGAACGGAGCTGGAAAGCAGGTTAGTGGGGTGGGGAGGGAATGGGGATTTTGCAGTATCCTTCCCCTGCCACGCCCACCAAGTCACACCCACCAAGCTACAGCCACAAAGCCGGTAGTAAAAAAAAAAAATTTGAATACCACCACTGCTTTTGAACAGTCACTAAATGAACTGTTGTAAGTCGAGGACTACCTGTGCTGCATTCTAACCACTGCGTCAACCTGCCGCAAGCAACAACTTTTCCACTGAGGTTGAAGCAGAAATATAACACAAGAAAAACCATACCACGAATTTGTCAATTTGTCCAGCTTCAAAGTTGTCGGAGTTATTGTCTAATTTCATTTCATCAGATTTTCCTTTGTCACCGTAAACCTGGAGGAAGATGGGAGCGTCTGTTCCAGCACCTTTAATGTCACTTGTCCAAATCCACAGAGACCAGGGATTTTCTGTCAAAAATGCATTAAAAAAAAATTAGATACTTTTTTTTAAAGATGGCCAGATTGGTGATTAAGAGCAAACCAATTTAAAAAGAGAGAGAAACTAGAAACAAATTGAACAGCCATGCATTAACCCTATTGGATTTGCAGTCAGAGGAACAGGTTTTCATTTAATAACTAAAATCACACGAATAATTGGAGTGGGGTTTTTTGTTCCCATGTTCTTCTGTTGACACAGATTGTACAGCACGCTGGGAATTTGGATCAGGCTTCCGAGCTTAGGTTTTGGTTCAGCATGATATCCTTTTGGGATAAGGAGGAGGAGCAGGGAGGGAGGAAAAGGAGGAGGAAGAGGAGGAGGGGGAAAGGGGGGAAGGAGGAGGAGGAAGAGGAGGAGGAGGAGGAGAAGAGGAGAAGGAGGAGAAGAGGAGGAAGAAGAAATGAAGGAGGAGAACTCTGTGGTTTTTTCCCCAAACTCCAAAAACTTTAACTTTAGACTGTCTACTATTGACCTCACCCCTTTCCTAAGAGGTCTATAGGGGGCATGCATAAGTGCACCAACGTGCCTACCGTCCCTGTCCTATTGTTTCTTTTATTTTTTTTTATTTTATTTTTCTTATATGTATCCAGGTACTCATAACTATGTTTTTACTTATACCTATTATCTTGTAAGCAATTGGCAAACCAAATAAAATAAATAAAAAAAAATAAAAGAGGAGGAAGAGGAGGAGGAAGAGGAGGAAAAAGGGAAAGAAGGAGGAGGAGAAAGAGGAGGAAAATGGAATACACTTATAAAGAAGAAGAACAAGAGGAAGAGGAAGAGGAAAGAAGAAGGGGAGGAAGAGGAAGAAGAGGAAGAGGAGGAAGAGGAAGAAGAAGAAGGGAGAAGGAGGAGGATGGAATGCACTTATAAAAAAGAAGAAGAGGAAGAGGAAGAAAAGGAAGAACAAGAGGAAGAGGAGGAAGAGGAAGAGGAAGAAGAAGAAGGGAGAAGGAGGAGGATGGCATGCACTTATAAAGAAGAAGAACAAGAAAAAGAAGAGGAAAAGGAAAAGAGGAGGAGGAATGCACTTATAAAGCTATTGACCACTAAGGTGATGTAGAATGTAGAATGTAGAATACTTTATTGGCCAAGTGTGATTGGACACACAAGGAATTTGTCTTGGTGTAAATACTCTCAGTATACATAAAGAAAAGGTACATTAGTTAAGAATCAAGAATCATAACGTACAACACTTAATGATAGTCATAGGGAACAATCAACAATCAAATCATACTAGGAAACAGTCAATATAAATCGTAAGGATACAAGCAACAAAGTTACAGTCCTACAATCACAAGTGGAGAGGATGGGTGATAAGGAGTGATGAGAAGATTAACAGTAATAGTAGTGTACACTTTGTAAATAGTTGAACAGTGTTGAGGGAATTATTATTATTTTTTTGTAAATTTTATTTGAGTTTTCACAAAAAAATACAAATAAAACATCTTTTTGAAAGTATCATAATCCCGGGTTACATTTCTTCGTACAGACACAAATTCAATTTCATGCTCATTTTTATGTTCTATTCCATATCTTATTACTGTTTTACATTTTCTACATATCTTCTCTCCTCTTTTAATTTTCTCAATTTTATTTTAATTATCTCGTCTCAATTCAAATCATTATATTTATACTTTTTGTCTGTCCTGTTTCAATTTCATATTATCTTTTCTCATTAAACAAAATTTCTCCTGTAGTTGCTGATTGGAGTATGACACCTTTATATCTTTTAATTTTATCCATTTAACTCTTATTTAAGCTTCAATATATACCTTAAAGTTATAACATTCAATATAATACATAACTTCCATTTGGATTCTGCTTGGTACATTCTTAAAATACACACTATATTCTTTAAAAAAAGATTATAAATATATGTAATTAAAACAACACATTCCATTCCAATTCAATTCTATCATTAATGTGAATATTCATTAAAATCTTAACTTCTTTAACATTACTTTTCAATTAAATATCATACCTCTATGGGAACAGTTATAAGCTTTCCATAATTAATCCCCCCCCCACTTATATTTTATAAAACATTAACTAATCAAAATGTTCCTATCCCTTCCTAATTCAATTTTCTCATTTATTTTATTTCATTTATTTTATTAACAAACATTTCACTAGATTACAGTAACTATTTTATCCCTCATTTTAATCATACATTGTTTCCAATTTTCTAAAATTATTTCTATTACTAATATAACAATACAATCTTATGCACCTTTACAGAATCCCTTTTTCAGTTAAATTTTCACCCATTATCTCTAAATAGGTCCCGTTTCTCTATATCTTGTTTCTGTCCTTTGTAACTTCTTTTCCTTTCGTTCTTCCCTCTCTTCTTCTCTCTCCCCTTTTTACCCCCTTGTCTCTCTACCTCTATTTCTCTCTTCTGTATTCCCCTTTACTGTTGCTTTCCAGTATTATACTTATTTTTTGAATTATTTTTCTTTTCTTTGGTTGTTTTCTTAATTCTTAAATTCTCCATTCTCTTTCCCCCCCTTTCCTTTTTCTTCCCCACATAAAATTACTCGTTCATTAAAGATGGCTTCTTCTTTGTCCCAGTCTTCTTGTTTTGCAGACGTTTCTTGTTGTTTCTCATAGTTCCAAATCTCCATTTCTAAGAATTGAAAAACGAAGCCAAAAGAACCCTTCCCTTCTTGTGCATCTTCTTTGTACTTTTTAAGTTCCATTTTCAATTCATCCAGAAGTAGTGCCATTGTATAAATTTTTAAACAACCACCCGATTAATTTTAGTCATTCAAATGCAATAACCAAGAATCCAAAGATCACCAAGTAATCCAAATACACACAAGCTGTTTCTTTTTGCTTTTTTCCCCCACTTTCTCTTCCTGGGGTTCTACTATTTAGTTGCCAAGTTTCAGTTAAAATGTATCTTTTAGAAGTCTTGTTGAAGTTTTACTGTAGATTCCTTTTAATTCCAGGCAGTCTCCTCCCTTTTTTCCAGATCCTGCCCTTTTATTCTTTTTCTCTCCTTTCCTGCTTATAAAAAATTGTTGGTGTCCAGAAATCTTTATTATCCCTTTGATATTTTGTTTTATTTTCAATTTAATTGCCTGTTGATGTTAAAGCAGATTTTTTTTTCCGATTTCTTATTTAAGTCTCTTAGTTGTCAGTATAGGGAAAGGGAGAGAAGAAGAAAAAAACCAAACCTTTCCCTTTTCACTTTCCTTCGCTGCTTCAGAATCTTCTTTGGGAATGATTTTTTTTTTTTAGTTTAAATTCCAGGGTACCTTAGTTGTTGCTTTTACAATTTAACCCGGTCAGCCAAAACTTTCACTTCTTATCTTCCTCTTGCACATTCTTTTCCGGTCGAGTTCTTCTTTGTGGTGGCCATTTCTGACCACCGCTGCAACCGCCTTCGGGAAAGGGAGTAATGGCCAGCTGAGGAGGAGAGATGCGGCTCTCCTCAACCCTGGTGGCAGTCTCCCCCCTCTTCGCCACCTCTACGGGGTGGCTTAGCCCCGAAACCAGCTGGCTCGGGGCGCTCCAGGGACAAGCCCAGACCGAAACCACACACGATCGCGGATTTCTGTCTGTCACCGAAGAAGCTCAAACCAGAAGCCAGTCAGTGTTGAGGGAATTATTTGTTTAGCAGAGTGATGACGTTCATGGGAAAAAACTGTTCTTGTGTCTAGTTATTCTGTTGTGCAGTGCTCTATAGCATCGTTTTGAGGGTAGGAGTTGAAACAGTTTATGTCCAGGATGTGAGGGGTCTGTAAATATTTTCACAACCCTCTTTTTGACTCGTGCTGTATGCAGGTCCTCAATTGAAGGCAGGTGGGTAGTAATTGTTTTTTCTGCAGTCCTAATTACCCTCTGAAGTCTGTGTCTGTCCTGTTGGGTTGCAGAACCAAACCAGACAGTTATAGAGGTGCAGATGATAGACTGAGTAATTCCTCTGTAGAACTGTATCAGCAGCTCCTTGGGCAGTTTGAGCTTTCTGAGTTCGGTGCAGAAATAACATTCTTTGTTGTGGTTTTTGATGATGTTTTTGATGTGAGGTGTCCATTTTAGGTCATGTGATATAGTAGAACCTAGACATTTGAAGGTCTCTACTGTTGATACTGTGTTGTCTAGTATTGTAAGAGGTGGTAGTATAGGAGGGTTTCTTCTAAAGTCTACCACCATTTCTACGGTTTTGAGTGTGTTCAGTTCCAGATTGTTCCGGTTACACCACGAGGCAAGTTATATAACCTCCTGTCTGTATGCAGATTCATCGTTGCCTCGAATGAGACCAATCACTGTTGTGTCATCAGCAAACTTCAGTATTTTAACAGATGGGTCGTTTGAGATGCAGTCATTGGTATATAGGGAGAAGTGGAGATAGCACACAGCCTTGTGGGGCCCCTGTGCTGATTGTACAGGTATTGGATGTGATTCCGCCTAGCTTCACCTGCTGCTTCCTGTCTGTTAGGAAGCTTATGATCCACTTACAAGTGTGTTCAGGTACCACTAGTTGGTTTAATTTACTTAGAAGAGTGTCTGGAATGATGGTATTGAATGCTGAACTGAAGTCTACAAAGAGGACCCTTGTATTTGGAGATTCAAGGTGTTGTAGGATGTAATGCAGAGCCATGTTAACAGCATCATCTGTCAATCTATTTGCTCGATATGCAAACAGCATGGGATCTAACAGTGGATCCGTGATGGTTTTCAGGTGGGACAGCACAAGCCTTTCAAAGATTTTCATAACTACAGATGTTAGATCAACTGGTCTGTAGTCATTCAGTTCCTTGATGGAGGGCTTCTTTGGCACTGGGATGATAGTAGAACGTTTGAAGCAGGAAGGAACATAGCACATCTCTAGTGATCTATTGAAGATTCGGGTGAAGATAGGGGCCAATTGGTCAGCACAGACTTTTAAGCAAGAAGGAGTTATCTTGTCTGGCCCTGGTGCTTTTCCTGGCTTCTGTCTGTGTAATAGATCTTGCACTTCTTTTTCTGTGATCACCAGAGGTTGTGAGCCCAATGGATTGGGGCCAGTTGTAGGAGGCTTGGCTGTGGTTGGTGTGTTTGAGATGTGGGTTGTGGAGATAGGTGGCTGTAGTTTCTTTTCAAACCTGGAGTAAAACACATTCAGGTCATCTGCTAGTTGTTGATTTCCTTCTGCCTGGGAAGGACGTTTACGGAAGCCAGTGATGTTTTTAAGAGTTTTCCACATGTTTGCTGGTTCATTTGTTGAGAATTGATTCTTTAACTTTTCAGTGTAGCTTCTTTTTTGCTGCTCTGATCTCTCTTGTTAATATGTTTCTGGCCTGGTTATATAGCATTCTGTCACCTTTTCTGTAGGCTTCCTCTTTGGAACGAGGTAGCTGCTTAAGTTTAGCTGTGAACCAAGGTTTATTGTTACTATATATTTGCAGGTTCCTTGTTGGTACACAGAAGTCTTCACAGAAGCTAACATATGATGTTACAGTATCTGTGAGCTCATCTAGGTCTGCAGAGGCATCTTCAAAAGGTGAAGATTTCCCCAGTCCAGTCGTGTCAAGTGCTGCTGATCTTCTTTCTATAGCTGTTATTTGCTGGTTCATTATTTCCAGAGCTTCCTTGATCTCCCTTGTTTCCAAGTGGTATTTCTTGATTGGCTATTCTTTGGTCTTCGCTTCTTTTCTTTCTTCTGTTCTACCTGACTTGCATCTGATCTCATCTTGCTAATCTTATTATCCAGCCTTTGAGTGATGCACTGTTTGGTGTTTTTTCCTCCCCTTCTTTGTAGATTTTGTATCCCAGGTATTAATATTTTTATTATCTCCTAAAATAAAGCTTGTCATTACTTTTCTTTCATGCAAGGATCAGTCACAGAAATGTTTTCTTATGCTTTTAAACGTTAGTCTGTCTCTCTCCCTCTCTCTCTCTCTCCGTCCCTCCCTCCCTCCCTCTCTCTCTCCCTCCCTCTTTCTCTCTCTCCCTCTCTCTCTCCCTCCCTCCATGCATTCTTTCTGCCACATAAATCTATCTGCCTTTCAACAGATGTATCTGCTCCTAAATGTCAGCTAGAAGATTAAGTCAGTCTCTAAGCTTCACCTTCTCCCTCTGTGTTTCCGTACACCGAGTCCTTTTGTCCTGGACATCTTTCTCCAGTCTGAAGGGAGGAAAATGTGATTTAATTGTTGGGAAATGTTTGAGATAACCTTAACCGAAACACTCCTGTTTGCTTCACTGGTGTCCGCAGTTAATCAGTGGAACCACTTTCCTCCAGAAGTTGTGGTTGCTCCAACACTGGAGGATTTTCAGATGAGGCTGGACGGCTACTTGTCTGGAATGGTATAGGGCCGTGATGGCGAACCTATGGCAGCATGCCAGAAGTGGCACACAGAGCGATTCCTGCTGGAATGCTAGCCGTTGCCTGGAACTGATCCACTGTGCATGCGCGCGCATCCCCCGACAGCCGATTGTCAGGTATTGTTCTGACCCAAACCTTGTTCCAAGGAAACAAACACCAAATGGAGGTAACAACAACACCTTTTAATGATTCTTTACGAATTTCGTTCCTTCACGGTTAAAAGGCTGTTTCAAACGAATTGTCTCTGATAAGAACGAGCCTTGCCAAGGCTGTGCAAGGCTGCCAAGAACACTAGATAAAGTTGCCATTAAATATTTCAAACACAAAGAGTCTCCAAACACAAACTAAGAGGGTCCGAACGTCCACAAGGCTTGAGTGCAAAAACGTCTTTGCTTCCTGCAAAGAACTCTGCTTTCTCCGCTGAATCCAACCCCTGGCTGCCCCCCCCCCCCCAGGATTCCCCGCACAGCCCGTTTTGGATTCCAAGTAAGTGTGGAGGCTCGGGGAAGGTGAAAAATGGGCCTCCCGGAAGTTCCAGAAGACCGAAAACAGGACCATTTCCAGCCTCTGGAAAACCTCCGGAGTCCGGGGTGGCCATTTTTGCCCTCCTGGAGGCTCGAGGAAAGCCTCCGGAGCCTGAGGAGGGTGAAAAAGGGTCCCCCCCCACTGCCTGTTTTCATTCCCAGGCCAGGATGGTGCAGGAGGACAACTAGGCCATGCCCGCTATGGCTACGCCCACTCAGCCACCGGGCAGAGAGAACTGGTGGCTAAATTTTTTGAAGCCCACCCCTGCTCCAAGGTCCCTTCCAATTCTGTTATGTCATATTTAGCACGGCACATCTAGTGGAA